CATTTTGTAGCATCAGTGACCAAGCGAATAATCACATCAACGCACTCAAGATTATTAAGGCAAGAAAGTCCATTCCTGGCAAAGCCAGGTGCTACACACCAGATCCTTCAAATAAGCATTATCACAGACCAGTGGGTTCAGAAGAAATGAGACTCAACAACAAGTAACATGTACACGTTTCCTTCCTTCAAAATGACAAAGGTACCTTAGAAAGAAACAAAACGCTGCTCTTCTTCACTTTCAATTGTTAAAGCACACTATAACAGGTTTAGATTTGGAAAGAAAGGCGTAAAAAGAAAGATTTCTTTTTCTTTTTCCACATTTTATTACCTGAACAAATTTCAGACAGTATGAATGAAACACAAATAAACAAACAAACCTGTATCTTGTGTTGTCAGAATTCGGATTGCTGACCCTGACGATGATGAAGACATGTTGAAACTGAGAACGTACAGTCTGAGGGGTGAACGGCAAGGCACCAGGCTCTTGAAACACGATGGTCACTATGTCATTGCCAATGTGACGCTTGCGCAGAAGCTGAAGGTAGAAAACAGGAAGGAATATCAGCCAGTTGTATAACTCTTAGCATAAAAACTGACACAAATCATGAATTACATTTTGTTGTATATTTCAATTATAATAAACTTGACAGGAACCATCTCTCTTTCTTTTTTAAAAAAAAATAGTAGAGGGTTTTACGGCGCTCGCAACTGCATAAGGCCATATGGGCACCAAGGGGTGGGTGTCAACAGAGAAATCTTTACAGGGAATCAGACTTATTCTGCTCACTCTCTAGCTTCAACAGCACAAGGTCTGCTTCGACTATCAAGGCACCCCAGAAATAGCAGGTCACAAGAGAGTGACAAACATACAAAAGCAGTAGAGGAAAAGGACAATAGTAAGGATTAGGAAAGAAAAAGCAGCAGTTCCCTGTAGTAGATCAGGCAGTTATGAGCGTGACATGAATCAGCCCATTTACAATTCTACTGTGCATGAACGAGAAATGTCCCCCCTTTGGGAATGGCCTAAAGACACAGTCAGTGGCACCGTCGCGGGGGGTAGGAACCATCTCTAAAAAAAAATTAAGAGTACTTGCTCTAGGAAAGGCAGTAGCAAAATTTACATTTGAAAAAAAAAAAAAAAAAAAAAAAAAACAGTTGCGATCCTCAAAGGTCAATGTCACAAACAGTCAGTCTTGACAGGGTCAATGTTAAAAGCAGTGCCTACCTTAAGAGGTCAATGCTGAAACAAAGTACCGAGCAGCCTCCACCCCTTCTTCCCTCACACAGTAGCATAGCTTTAGTAACAAGGAGATGCACACAAAAGTTTTGATGTCAGGATATGCTGCATACATTGTTCAACATGCCACAGACTCACCTGTTGTTTATTGTTTGGTGTATAGGGCAACATGGTGGACACGTGGAACATTATTTCGTTGTTGTTGAACGTTGTGTAGTACGAGTGGGTGCCAGTGGTGTCGGCTGAAAAAGAGAATAAGCATTGTATATATGAGATAAAGATTAGAAACAAAAGAAAGGGAGATGCAAGGAATAAAAAGAGACTGCAAGAAAACTTGGCACCTACAACAAAGCGACCGGCAACTTTGGCTACCTCATTTACGGCTTTCTCTATTTTTCAATTAATTTAAACCTAACCAATCCCAGTCAATGACAGAAAACATACGGTGAAATGTTTTAATACCCCCCCCCCCCCCGACTCCAAAGATAGTCATGTAAGAAAACTTAAAGAACCTCTCTTCTCTTTGTCCACTACATTCACAGTTGAGTTCAAGCATCGTGTCACAGAGAACAGAGGATATTCATCAATCTCCCTCAGTTGCTGCCATAATATTTTCGACTATGAAAGAAAGTCACTTAAAAAAATTTCCAATCATAAACTTCAATCAAATAACATATTGTTCCTATTGCAAGAAAAAAGTGTACCTCTTTGATCTTCTATTACAGGGTCGGTAAGCGATAAGACAGAGTCAAGGAAAACAGAATAAAACAAAAAACTAGTGGAGGGGGAATACTTGTTTTGTTTAGTACAGGGTTATACTGCGCTCGCAACTGCAGGGGAATACTTGAATGACAGTGGTATGCATGTAACAGTTTGGAAATTTGCATTTCCCCACAGGGAGGTAGAAAGGGACATTAAAACAGGCTGCTAATGGAATTATGGAAAATGTTGGGGG